CCATTTGGACCAATCTATAATTTATTATAAAATAAATTGGCTAAATTTAAGGAATGAATTGAAGAGAATTTGGCCAAGAATTTCATATGCCATCCCAAATTTCTAGCAAGAATTCTAATGTTATTTGTGAAAAAAAAAGATAGATCACTACGGATGTATGTTGATTATCAAAGATTCAATAAGATCACCTTTAAGAATAAGTATCTTCTACCTTTGATATCTGGATTTCTTCATCAATTGAATCAAATTAAAATCTATATAAAAATAAATCTATGAAGAATATACAATCTAGTATACATCAAAGAAAGAGATGAATAAAAGACTATGTTTCAAACCATGTATGGATATTTTCAATATAATGTCATACCTTTTGGACTTACAAATGCACTAGTAATTTTTTAACATCTAATGAATGATGTCTTTTGAAAGTTTTTAGATAATTTTATTGTTTGTTATGTAAATGACATCTTAACATATTCTAAGAATATAAAAGAATATAGATTTCATATTTGTTTTGAGTTACAAAAACTAAGAGATGCAAAGCTCTATATTGAGATAGAAAAGTGTATATTTTATAATATTCAAATTTACTTAGAATATATCATTTCAAACAATGGACTCATGATAGATCTTAAGAAAGTTCAAACCATTATGAATTGAAAGATTTCAAAAACAAAAAGAGATGTCCAATATTTTTTGGAATTGACAAATTACTATTGAATCTTTATTAAAAACTTTTTTCAAGTTATAGCTTCACTTACACATTTGACTTGTAAAGAAAAACTTTAATAGAATTAAGAAATCAAAGCAACATTTGAAGCTTTGAAAATAAGCTATGTTTTTACATCAATCTTATATTATATCAATTTTTTTAAGCCAATTTTTATAGAAATATATGCATCGGAATTTGCTTAGAGTGCTATATTATCTCAAATAGAAACAAATGATAAACTTCATCCAATAGCTTTTCATTCAAGAAAATTTTCAACAATCAAGATCAACTACAAAATCCATAACAAAGAACTTCTTGTAATTATAGATTTATTTTAAGAATGGCACCATTATTTAGAAGGTAATTCTATCTTAATTATTGAATATACAAATCACAACAACCTTTAGTATTTTATGTCAACATATATTTTGAATTGTCACTAAGCTTGTTAAAGCATGTCTTTGTTAAAATTTGAATTCAAGATTACTTATTGGCCAAGAAAACAATAAGATTTGTTAGATGTTCTTTCTAGATGATTGTATCTTATACCAAAAGAAAGAAATACACCTTTTAATCAACAATAGATAATTCTATTAAAGCCAAAGTAATTCCATTTATGAGCAATGAAATCAATATTAATTATTGATTCAATTTTTTTTAAGTAAATTCAATTAAGCATGTCCTTTGATCCTCTTGTTTGGTATATTAAGAAAAATGATTCAAAATCTGATAATATTTTTAGGTTTGAATTCAAAAATCATTTATTCTATTTCAAGGATTACTTATATATTTTAAAAGGTGAAGCATGATTATGTGCTCTTCAAGTTTATCATGACTTTTTAGCAACATGATATTTTGGATACAATAAGACTTTAAAATTAATATCTAAAGATTTTTAGTGGCCTCAGATGGAAAAGACAAGTAATATTTTTGTATAATCATATAATATTTATTCAAGATCAAAAACTCTTATGCTATTAGTATTTTTTTTATGATAACATAATGTACTTTTTTACTCAATAAATATATTTTTACTAATAATAGTTATTACTTATGATTTCATACTTTTGACTTTTTTTAAATTGATAATCTTGTGATAGAAGATTTGACAAATCATTTATCTGAGCTACATACAATAATGAAGGCATATCTAAAAAGAGATCAATAATGACAAAATATCAATAAAAATACTTATTGCAAAAAACAACCTAAATTATATATAAGCAATAAGGTATGATTATTTTATCATTATATTAAGACTATTTGTCCTTGTAATAATTTAGATGACTATAAAATTTGACCATTTTTTGTATGAAAATAAGTCAATCTAATTTTTTATTGATTATATCTATCGAAATCTATGGAGATCCATCCTCTATTTCACTTGTCTCTTCTTGAGCTATAGAAGACAATAAATATCCTAGAAAGAAGATAAATGCGACTACCTCCTATAGAAGTGAATAATAATCAAGAATTTGAAGTAGAAGAAGTCTTAAACTTAAAGCAATGTTAAAATAAGATGGAATATCTTTTTTATTTGCACAAATATGATATTAATAAATGGACATGAGAGTTAGCAAAGAATCTTACAAATACAATAGAGAAGATTAAATTTTTTTTTATCAATGACATCTATCAAAGCCAAGATAAAAAGTTAAGCAATTTTTTTCTATAAAACAAAGGATGTTTAATAGAGATTTTATTTTATCTTCTATCATTCATTGTAAATTCTTTATATTTTGTGATGCTAATAAAATGGAGAATCTATAATTGATAGATTTAATTCAAGAACCATTATTTGTTGATTTTTTAAATAATACATTATGATTTTCACAGCCTTCAAGACAACATAATTGAATTGAAGACCCTCAAAAATGACATGTTTTTTTGAATAAATAACAAGATACAATACATTTGGTATTACAATTTTAGATGAGACTCTAGATGTTTGGTGATTTTTTTAGAAGTTGGAACTATTCTTGATAGTATAATAAATATTTTGTTTGAAGAAAGTTATAAAGGCCTCAATAATGACCAAATAATGTAGTAGTCTTCTTATCCTAGAATGAGACATTATTAATGGTTGAAAGGACCTATCAACTACCTTCAAAAGAAACAACAATCAAAGTATGTAACAAATATAATTTGTCACACCTTAGACTCCATTAACATGTGATCACCGTTCCTTGTGGAACTTATTCCTAGAAGAGAGGTAATTTCACAAACATACATATTTATTTTAATAGTTATCTAGGTAATATGAATAAATAAAAGTAAGTAAAAACAAATCAATTTCATAATATCTTTTAACCATCCCTAAAAGCTTCATAGATGCGGTTTCACCTTTATACATGTCTGTAGGTGATTGGTAGGTTAAAAAATTGGCTAACAAGTTAATGCCGTATTGCACATATTAGTAGCTTGTAGTACAAGCTAATGATGAGGCGTACATATAAAAAACTTGCTTTGCAAGTTAAAACATATGCCTTACAAATTAGACATGTATTTGAGGTCTTATAAAATATTATCATGTAGCTCTTAGATAGATAGTATGTATAAAGATAAGAGTGAAGCCTTCTTTTTTCTTGTAAATTCTTTTCTTGCTTCTAATTTAGTTCTAAGACTCTCTAACTTTCTTGTATTTTGGCAATAGCCATTCTACTTTCTATTATATATATATATATAGATATATATATACATTACCATTTTTTTTGAAAAAAATCTTATTTTTTTTTTTGCCTTCATTAAATTCTTACCCTTGATAGGAGATAAGAGTAAAGCCTTTTTTTACTCTTGTCAATGCTTTTCTTGTTTTTAGTTTAGCTTTAAGAGTCTCTAGTCTTCTTGTCTTTATCAATAGTCATTCTAGTTCTAATACTATATTATTTCTGAGAGAATATTTACTCTCCTTTAGTGACACAAGATTGTATTGAGGTTTTTAATGTTTGTGATTCATGTCTTTAACACTTTCATATTTATCTTTTTATTTTATTTTATTTTTACAGGTAGAAGGTAAATAATATGAATAAATGAATTATAAAAATATGAATGGTAATGAAGATGGAGATGGAAATTAGAGGATTATATAAATTACTCAAATATAATTGTCATATTAATGTTAAGTTTTGTACTTTAATTTAAATTGTGAAGTAAATTCATAAATATTTCTATAAAAGATGTGATTTCACAACAATGTAGACAGAATAAATAAATAAATAAATAAATAAAGTCAAACAATATATTAATACACAATATATTGTAGCAACAAAGTATAGAGCATTTGTTTGTAATGAATATATCTAAGGATATTCAAAATGTGGTTTGAAATTATATCTTGTTAAAATACATCAAATAATTTTTGATCTTCATGATGATGGAACTAAAATCTTAACTTATAGAGAGTACCAATAAAAAACTTTAATGGCATTTTTAGAAATGTATGAATCTACAAATAACATAGGAAGGTTATGTTTTGTTAATCCTACTAAAGAAGAAAGATTCTATCTTTGGCTTATTCTTACAGTTGTATGTGGACTTCAAATATTTAAATATATTGTAAATGGAGTGTTTTATCTAAGTTCTAAAGTTATGACTTTAGAAGACAACAAAGAATATAATAAAATATTTTTATTATAATAATTATTATTATCATTATCATTTTTTAACCAAATATATAAAATAATTTGAAAAACACAATTGTTAGGATTTCATAGTATTTGATAATAAAAGAAGCATTGAAATTAGATTATTTTAAATTAATAAATTATTCTTTTTTAAAACATGTTGTTATTGTTAGTTTTTTCTCTTCAATATTTCAATATTTGCTCTTCAAAATCATATTAAGGACAAAAAAGAAACACCAAAGAAATATTATAAAAAAATATTAAACATTTTATTTGTAAAATATCAAACATATAAAATACCACAAGCAACATCTACATAAATTGTTCAAATTCAAATGTAAATATATGGGTGGGCAATATATAATTATCTTCTGAATTTAAATATATATATATATATATATATATATTAGAAATGTTGAAACATGGTAGAATAACTTCTACCCCTGTGAAGAGAATACAAAATATTCTCGTAGAATCACACATTTATCAAAGCATTAACCAATCCTTAATCTCCGAAACAACTCCATCTTAAAATGTAAAAAACAAAAAAAAATTAAGTAAGAAAAACAACAACGCTCTCATGGACGGGAACGGTGAACGGGGAACGTTCCCTTGCGTTCCCATTATCCAATCCACACAGACAGACAGAGAGGGGGATTGCGAAGGAGCCTCACAAGGCCTTCAATCCTTCCTTCGAAGCCTCCTCCTCTTCACAAGCTTCTCCTTCGTGAGCTCCTCCTTCCTCCTTTGATTCCGTTTTGCTTCTATGGCGTAATCCCACCCTCGTGTTCAATTCTACTGCCGGGCTTCGCCTCTTTGCTAGCTTTACAGTGGTGGATTGTGTGCCAGGGTGTTGCAATGGTGGGCGCCAATGCAGCGCTCGGAACGAGCGCGGCGTCGTTCTCTGCCACTAGTTCTGTTGCTGTTGCTGGGGCCGCTGCTGGGGCTGCTGCTACGGGCAGGCGTGAGAGTGGTGTGAGGTCGCCGTGCGTCGCGTCGTCTTCTTCGTCTTTGTCGCTTGGTGTGCGATGTCGAGCTGTGTCCGTGCGGAGGCCCGGGTTGGATGCTTCCAGGAGTTTGCGAAGCTCGTTGTTGGCGTCTGGGAGCTCTGGAGTTGGGTTCTCCAGGAACGAATTCTTTGCGGTGAGGATTTTTGGTTGTTGGTCTCAGGGGTTTGTAGTTATTTATTTATTTAGTTATTTTTGGGTTGGCTTCGGGTCGGGGTTCCTCGAGTGCTTGTTCGTTTCTCTGGTTTGGGTTGGAATTGGGATTGAGGGGATTTGACATAATTTGGGAAGTGTGATTCCTGAGATTTCTGGAGATAGTTTGTTGAGCAATTGTGGCACCTGAATTTTTTACAGTGTGGGGTGACTTTAATTGTTGAATTTGAGAGTAATTTTTCTGGTCATGGCATGAGAATCAGGAGATGAAGCATATCAGTGGACTAGTATTTCATGAAACATCAGCTTGTTTTTAGATACCCGACTTTCATAATATCAAGCAGTTGTCCAATGTATGATGACAACTCCGGATAAATATTGCATGGCTTATTTCAAGCAGCTGCTTCATTCTCGTTCTGTGTTGCAACACGAAATCTAGTGTGAACGTCCGCATTTTGTAGTAGCGAAATGTAGTTGAAATACTTATTAATGAGGCAGAGTGGTTTGTCAATGATGAGGAATCTCAGCTCGTAGCCTAAGTCCAGAATGGCGTTGTAGAAATGATAAATACGAGTTCCACCGTGATTAGTAGGTTTGCAGCATTTGGCATTGTATTCGGAATTATCTAATGATCTGTTTCTTGCATTGGGCTTCCATTTTACAGTTCTGATGGTTTCCTTTGTTGATCTAGAGACATGAAGCATTTTTCCTAGCCTCCAACATTGGAATATTGCATGAGGCAAGGAGAGAGAATGGCCGGGGCCTGGTTGTACGAGCCGCTGTGTTCGATCAACTCACGGACAGCCTCGAAGCAGCGTGGTCGAAACTTAAGAAGGAAGGTAAATACTATCTTTATTTACTTGTAGTCCCTGCCAAAGATAATTATGACACACCTCATTCTGCTTTTGAACTGTTTAACTGTTGAGGGTTTTTTGAATATTTCGATCTCTTTTAGGGCACTAGTAGACTTGAAATCTTGATATACAGCAGGTACAGGGACACGCAGAGCAACTGTATGTATGCGACTGTAGTCAGAAATATGAGCTCATTTGCTATAATATAGCAAGAATAGCTCGGTTAGCAATAATCTGACTTGCAATTGGTGGTGCAGATGTTTTGACTAAAGATAATATCAAAGAACCTATGAAAGATATTCGAAGAGCTCTGCTTGAGGCTGATGTACGTGGTTCGAGACCTTGAAAGAGTTGCACGTACACATTGGATAGATTTATCGTTCGGTTTTCTTCTACCTTTTTGATGTTCAAAGCGTGACAGCAATTTATGCATTCGTTTTGAATGCTTCCATGTTGAGTGTGTGCCTTCCTGTGCAGGTGAGTTTACCAGTTGTTCGGAGATTTGTGAAATCCGTATCGGAGAAGGCAATTGGTATGGGGGTGGTTCGTGGAGTGAGACCAGACCAGCAGCTTGTCAAGGTGTGTTCAGTACCTTATTCATAGTGTTGCTTTCGGTCATACTGACGAGTTTTATTGGTGGTGCGTAACAAGTGTCTGATTTTCTCGGCAGCGTCTCTGCGCTTAGGGTTGCTGAAGTTTATGCGCTTATGGAGTGACCATGTCCTCTGCTACGCATGTCAATTTTTTGCACCAATGAAGTACAAAGTAATGAAACAGTTGTGATACTGCAGGTAGTGAATGATGAGTTGGTAGGCCTCATGGGTGGAGAGATGGTTGGCATTGAATTTGCCAAATCTGGTCCTACCGTCATTTTAATGGCAGGGCTACAGGGAGTGGGGAAGACAACTGCGTGCGGAAAGCTTGCCCTTTTTTGCAAGAAAAAGGTACAGTTACTTTGGTTAATCGGAGGCTGAACCAGAAGCGAATATTTACTTTCAGAAGTTTCTGTTACTGTTATTAAAGTTGTATAGATTTTATCAAATTTAGCTCCGATTCAAGAGTCTGCTTTGTTTTGTAAACGTAAATTTGCTTGGAGAGTACACATTACTGGTGTAACGATTCTTATTATAACAAGTTTCGGATTGCAGGGAAAAAGTGTCATGATGGTAGCGACAGATGTGTACAGGCCAGCAGCCATCGACCAGCTCGTCACCCTGGGAAAGCAGGCGAGTCTTATGTTTGCTGTGGCTGTATAGTAAAATCAATCTTTCTGTTGAACATTGGGTAGTCACAGAACGAGACACCGACGTAAATGGGCACTCTTCATAGAAGAGCATCAATTTACATCAACCTAAAGACGAATGGACTTCATGTTTGTCTTTGCAGGTGGAGGTTCCAGTTTTCGAAGCTGGTAATCAATTACGGCCTGCAGAGATTGCAAAGAGGGGACTTGCTGAGGGCAAAAAACAAGGAATAGATGTTATCATCGTTGATACGGCTGGACGTCTCCAGGTATTACACCTGCCTGTTGTAGCTAAAGATTCAAGTTTTGAATACACTCTGTACTGGGTCTGTTAGATCTGTGGCTTTCATAATTTATCGATCTATACGTTCTTCATCTCTAAGTGGTTTATGGTGCTGAATTGTTAATCTCTTTCTTCTAAGGTTAAATAAATTGAAGTTATCTCCTAATTGTCTGTTCTTTAATATCCTGGGTATATGTTACATCTTTGGATGAAACTGACTGTACAGCCCATTATTTGAGGGCAGGTAGATCGAGGAATGATGGATGAGCTCAAGCAGATAAAACAAGTGGTGAATCCAACTGAAGTTCTGCTAGTGGTTGATGCCATGACTGGTCAAGAAGCTGCAGGTATGCTACACAGCTCTGTCAGTCATTTACTGGTATAACTGGTATGTTCTTTTAGCTGTAAGATTAGCTAACACATAAAACAACCTTCTTTTTGTGGCGTGTATACTTATTCTTGAAATGTGTATGCTATTTCTTTTTGATCTTAGTCCTAAAATGTGCTTTACTATTATTGCACTTTACATGTGACCTTTTTTGATACTCCGAAGCAGACAAGCTATTTGTCTATTTCAATTTTTAAATATGTTTCTGTACTCAAACATGAATTGACATCGTCGGTGGTCTGTTTGATGACAGGCCTGGTTGCATCGTTTAATCTGGAAATTGGCATAACTGGTGCGATCCTAACAAAGCTTGATGGTGACTCTCGAGGTGGAGCTGCATTGAGTGTCAAAGAGGTCATTAACTACCACCTTCCACAATGAGCATCCTAGTGACCGTTGCTAGTTTTCTGTTTTGAAAGCATAGACATGGTTCTGTTAGTTTTAGTGATCTAACTCAAATGTACGGCCGTGCTAACTGTTTGATTTCCTATTTTATCATTCAGGTGTCTAATAAACCAATTAAGTTTGTGGGAGAAGGAGAGGGCATGACAGCGCTGGAACCCTTCTATCCTGATCGAATGGCCAGTCGCATCTTAGGAATGGGAGATGTGTTGACATTTGTGGAGAAGGCACAGGAAGTGGTACGTGAAGGTTGCCCAAGTCAGGCTACCCTGAAAATGCTATGACGTAGATTTGAGAACGTTCTGAGTAGTGCTGAATGTGAAATCCAAGTTTGGCTTTAGACGCTTTTGAATGCTTATAGTTGGTTTGGATCGTTTTATAACATAGTCATGTCTCAAAAGTATTTGAATTCGAAAAACAATCTATTTGAGGTGCCCGCAAGCTGTCTGTCTCGCTATGCATGCATGATTTCGTAATTTATTACTTTACTGAACACATACATATGTTTCTTTTTAAATGAAGCACTCATATTTGTATGGCTTGGATGTGCAGATGGTCAAAGAAGACGCGGAACTTATGCAGAAGAGAATAATGGAGGCTAAATTTGACTTCAATGATTTCCTTGCTCAAACACGGAATTTAGCTCGAATGGGCTCCATGAGTAATATCATGAAGTTTTTACCCGGCATGAACAAGGTCCTGCTCTTCTTAATATAACACTGGTCGCGTATGTCAAGGACAAATTCAGTCTAGGTCATCTCAGCAAAGAGAAAACGGGTTGTAAATGTTTTTTCCTGCGTTGATTGAAGACACATAGATTTTATTTGGCTTACTGTAAGAATGACTCTTATAATTGACCTCAACTTTGTACAGTGGTGAGCATAAAAACCTATTCTTTTGGTTGGTACCTCTACGTAACTTTATACTCTGCTTAACTTGCATCTATCAGGTCATTGGTACTGATATCTTGCATATTGATGTAAGAGCAGGTGAGTCCACAACAAATTCGCGAAGCTGAGAAGAGTCTTAAAATCATGGAATCTATGATCAACTCTATGACTCCTAGTAAGTATCTTGCAACAAATAGCTATCCCGAATTTCAGTACCTAATCTCCATACATGAGAACCGGAGTTTGATATTGAAATCTTCTTTGGTGGCTCATAAATAGTTTGCGGAGCATGAAGATATCTCGTTTCTGGAACAGTCAACGTAGACAGTTGGTTTTGGACACCACCTACATTTCTGCAGTTGCGTTTTTCTTAGGACGTTATTTTCTGTGCTGCAGAGGAGAGAGCCGATCCTGATCTTCTTGCAAAGTCTCCTTCCAGGAGGCGAAGAGTTGCTAATGGTTCTGGAAGATCACAAGAGCAGGTAGCAAAAATATTTGTCCATACATAATGTGCTTGATACAGTAGGCAAAACGTGTGCCAGTAGTTTCGATACTGGACTAAAATGTCAAGAATTGAATTTTCAAAGTTAACATTCAACTGTTTAATTTTCAATTTGAAGTAAGCTGTTAATCTGGTACATTGGTTTCTAATTATCATCAAAACATGCACGTACTTGACAAGATTTCGGATGGCTATTTTCTCCATTATATTTATAGCTTTTACTTGTGACCTTTCAGGTTAGTGCTTTAGTGGCTCAACTTTTCCAAATGCGAGTACGCATGAAAAGTTTGGCAACTATGATGCAAGGTGGCTCGATACCTGGGATGGAGGGCTTAGAGGAAGGCATGAAAGGTGGAAGAAAGGTATTTATTTCACACCAGTGAGCATTATTCGGAATCGGAGAGTATTTCTTAAAAACAGTGGCTAAGCAAGTTGAGGTTCTGATGAGCATGATGAACCAGAATGAGGGTATAGACATACTCCAGTTCCTCACCCTGACCTATGACGAATTCTGAGTAATTTGTATGTGACTTGGTCTACGATTTGCAGGCAGCCCCAGGTACAGCAAAGAGGAAAAGGAGTCGTGGTTTTGCGTCTCAGCTTGCAGAGTCTGGTGCCAAATCTTCACCAAAAGGATCTGGAGGTTTCGGTGGCTTTGCCAAGAAGTGACCCATTTTTCTTGCTCCACCATTCTTTTTTTCTTTTTTTCTTTTTGATGATGAGCGGTTTCAAACATAGTATTACTCGTCAAGTGTCAGCACGAATTTTGTGTCAGTCAGTTCATTTAGAGATTCTGTAGTTCAGTGAAACACACACAGATAATCCAAACCCTATTTCACTTTTAATACATATTCCTCGCAACTTTCTCACTCATTTTTTATTGTAGCCTTTGTTTTACAAACTTGTTGTTGTCAATAAACTTGTTCGTCGTCAAACCCGGCCTCTTCACGAGCAGAGCGGCCTGCTCGTCACGAAGTTTTCGTGACATCGCCGCACCGCTAGAGTGAGCACCCTCGTCGGCTTTGCATTTTGATTGAGTTTTCGTTGTTGTTGTCAGAGGGTGGGGCCTGCATGATCACAGAATGTCCTCACTTCTCCCGCGAGTGTGCTCACTCCCTCCCCGAAATGATGTCACGCACTCCTCCGCTCTTCGGCTTCAGCACTCATTCCTTGCGATCTTCGCCTTCCGCGGCTACAATTGACACTGTTGCGTCAATCACGCATATATGTGCATTTCAGGAAACTGTCCTTGCCTTATTGGTGAGAGCCCGGCACTATAATCCTGCATGAAAATTCTTCGCTATTCAGTGTCATGTTCCTCCCGAGTCCTTCCGCATCCGTTTCGTTTGCGTACAATACTCAATCTCGGACTCTGTTTGTTCGATCCAGTATGACTTGTTCATTACGGCTAGAGAATTCGTGTATTTGAGTTGATCGGATTGCAGTCGTATTCTGAGACTAGGATCATCTCCAACTATGTACAGCAGGGGCTGAGTTGAGACTAGAGAGGTCCATGCATTCTCTAAGGAAACTATCTACCTCTTTCCTAGTCTGTGTCGATCCTGTCCAGTCTCTCCACAGCCCTCTCTGTCTGTGATTGTGTCACCAGCGTATCGGGCAATAGGTGCCACAGGCTCGGAGGGAGAGAGAATGTGTTAGGCTTTCACAATAGATTCACTGACGTTCATAAGCTTCTGTGGCAAACTGTCTGAACATTTGTAACTGCGATCGAATAGTTTGAAGGATTTCTTCCAAAAGGGGGGGGGGGGGGGACAGTGACATGGACTCGTGACACGAGCATCCTAGGTGCGTTTCCACCAAAGAGAGCACCATCATTTTGTGTACTCCATGGTGGAATCGCATCCAGGATGCCATTGTTACGATTAGCGAACGCTTATCAGCCATGGGCATCAATAGTGGTGGCGTGAAATGATTCAGGGAGCAGTTGGAAGTCTTCAAATCCACGGGCAACAATTCAAAATCTAAATGGATTTCTGCGCGTGAATTTGAAGTATCTCACCCGTTCTCTGTGTGTCAAGACGACGTGTGGGAAGAACTCTTTCAAGTATCAAGTCAGTTTCTGAATGCACGATGCTTGAATTCAGCAACTGTGCGTTTCTGAGATTTCCAACATGGACAGCGTGGTGAGTAAACTGCCAAACTGCAATTCATTCTAATGTCTTATTTGCGCTTCAGTTCAACAGCTTACTTGATGGAAATTAATCATAGACATTGCTCAAGTATCTAGAGGATGACTCCTAACTTCAACAAATGTAAACCTCACAAGCGTCTACAATCTAATTCTACGGAGGTCCCTTAGACTTTCATCAACTAGTCACAATTTCAACTGCAGTGTTGAACACAGCTGAATAGTTGACATCGTAGCAGTTTGTGTACTCGCTACTGCTTTTTGAACGAAGAAAAGCTACACCAGTGTCCTGCACAATTGACACTCACTCAATGCGTTAAAAAATTTGAAGTATCCTGGACAAATGTCCTACTACATTGTTTAGCAGTTATGCTCTGATTAGCGGAAAGTCTGTTTAGCGTTGCAACTGTTTTTATCATACTTGTGCCAGGAAAATAGACCTCCTATACTGAGCAGCTCTGGAAGATACCATTGAGTCGTGATCAAATCTAAGCAGCTGTATTTTTCTGAGTCTCAGTAATCGATGTCTTCATCAAAGAGGATCTGCGACCCAAATCGCTGAAGGAGTTGGTGGAGTTCGGGAACCTTGATATTGAAGCAGAGTTCGACAGACCCTTTCGTGCTCGAGTTTTTCGGCAAAGGTAGATTCCATGCTGCTTGCGAGACATTTGGTGGGCTGGATGGGTGCTTCCCTCAGTCGTTGAACCAGAGAAGTTAAACACGACTTCCACTTCCGTCACATTGATGATTTTTCGATAGTAGCACAATCGTAGTGCCGTTCCATTGTTTTATCGTTTAGTGGTGCATGCAGTTAGCCTGAATTGTCAGTTTGTTCAATAGAAGGAATCTTAGTAGAACTGGTAATCACGCTTTCTTTCAGTCTACACAAATTCTATTTGTAGCATATTCCTACCTTCTCAACGTTAGTTTTCGCAAAGATTTGCATTTTGACTATCAGCTCATGGATCTAGCAAGTTTTCGGACGTAAGAATCTATACAGCTGGATATCTGAACAGTTAATGCGAAAAACAACTGTGCACAGCAAATACGAGAAGAAGATACAAGCCGCAACTCAATGAAGTAAACTCCCTTAAGTAAGAGATTGCGAATACCACGCTTTCTGGATCGATGTTACTCGAAACTCGCGAATTCGGAACGAGTGACTTAACCTGCTCGCTAATTCGAAACATCTACAATCATTGAGTAAACAAGGGCAGAAAGACAATTTCATGGCTCTCAGCATCACAATCGTGGACAAACACCGACACAGTAAAATAATTTCACAGCAGGCCTCATCACCCAAAGCACCAACGCTCCTCAGACACGAAATTTTGGGGACGCTGGGGATGATATTCGACAACGAGAGGAACGGAAATCAGTCCAAAGCTAACGCACTAAGGCTTCGCTTGATTTTGCAGCTGATTTCATCATGCAATTTCTGAGCCACTAATTTACTTCTTGAAAATGCATGACAAATTGCGCCGGCATGAAACACACCACGACTTCCTACTGAGTGGCAACCATCCATCAGAAAGAAGCGTACATCGGCTAGTTCGCTAAAGCTCCAACGGCACGGATCATCAATTTCGAGCTCCTTGCGAAAGCATCAATCTTCCAAAATTCCTAGAAGGTCATCGTTGCGGTACAACAAAAACCTAAGCAGACAAAGAAGCGCTTCGTCAAAATGACTTAACAACAGCAGACCAGCAGTTATTGCATGGTTTACTGCACCATGGGAGGAGCAAAAACAAAACAAAAATAAATAAAAATAAATAAAAAAGAAAAGAGATCGGGCAAGAGAGGTAGATGCTAGAGCTTACTCTTTGCCTTCCTCGCCTTTCAATTTAACTGGAGTTCCGTCGTATTCTGGAAGCAGAACAGTGTCGCCGGTCTTTACATCGCAAGGGATGAGTGTGCCGTCTTTTGTCTTCATACCAGGACCAGTTGAAATAACAATACCTGAGTTCACCTGTTGCTTACGAAACAGTGATATGATTCAGTGGAGTTGGCATTTTAATGCTCTTGGATCGAAGACTGTCACTACTTTCAAAGCAACTGAAACAGAAAAGCAGGCTCCTTGATCTATTGCAACGGAGAAACGCGTCAAAATCCGCTAATACAGATACTATGGCCTAAATCAATCAATATATTCGGTCATAAACAGAAGGATGAGACCAACAAAAACTAGTTGGTACGCAGGGTCATGTTTGTATACAAAGAAACAGGTGAGTGCAATCAGTAAGCGCAAGTGTTTCCCTATTTTGCGAGGAGGGTATCAAACAGCTCACGACCTTGAGCAATAAAGCTAAAATTCAACTCCACGCTGTGTGCCATTCTCGCACAGAGCGAGAAAAATAGGAGAACAGCGGTATTACAAATGCAGAGCCAGAGTTAACATTGAACCTTAAGAATGGTATAGAAGATTTCGAAAGCGAAAGTCGATCACGATTAAGAAGCAAAGCAGACTGCAACATTTCCAAAAGGCGGAGAGGTTGAAGCGGATCGTTTCGATTCAAACAAAAAACATCAATCTGTCGCAACTACTCTACAACACAGGGGGTTGGATTTCTGCCACATGGTCGAATCGCTGAGAAAAATGAGATTGCAGATGGGGAGAAAAGGAGGTAATTCACCTTTGTGGTGGTCTCCGGAAGAAGAATGCCAGCAGCGGAGACTGTTGGTGGCACAATTTTCTCAACCAACACTCTGTCCAGCAATGGCACCAGCCGCTTGGCAGCCGTCACGACCGACATTCCGACCCTCCTTCGATATCAATTCGCAGATCAAATCACCTGCAACTGTACAACCGAAATGGAGAGAGGGACTTAAGGAGAGAATGAGTAGAACAGTGGGGAATCAGGAGCCTTGGGACTCAAATGGGAGAGAGAGACCCCAAGAGAACGACTCAGCTATTTTCGTTCTTCTAGAATGCTCAGAACATGGGTAAACGAAGATTTTTCTGGGTTTAACTGACACTGAATAAGATGGAACTTTTATGTCAATTTTCCATGTGGGACACAACAGAGAAACCACAGCAAGTATGTTCCACGCTATTGCTGTCAGAGTAGCAACGAAATTTATAAGCCTCGAATTTCGATTTGTTTCTTTTTCTTCTGAATTGAAGCACAGGATACGGAACAGAAATTGTCTAGACGGGATGGGGATGCGAAATTGAGGTAATGAAAATTTCGGGGGTTTTCGAAATGATAAATATTAGTGGATGTTAGTTAGTAACCCCTAATTTATTTTGGTGTATTTTCCAGAGTTTTCTAGAACAGAAGATTCTCGTCACTCCGTGTCTGTTTGCGAGTCTCGCGCCGTGCGGTTTATAATAGCTGGGGCTGTTCTCACCTCAATCGGCGTGCCTTGTTGGAAAATTGTTGCAGAAACGTCCAGTTCACTCCAGTTTTGGTGTCTTCGCACTGGAGTCTCACCGATTTGCAATGCGCACTACATTTGCGAGATATTGTTTTCAGTGAGATTGGTGAGATTGGCGAGATTGGTGAGATTGGTGAGATTGTTGCGTGCTGGTGTAGCGACTTGGTGTCTGGTGGAGTTGTACACGTCAGTTCGTGGAGAAGATGTCGACGGTGACGGCTGCCAAGAGGTTGATTCCTTTGCTGGACAGGGTGTTGGTGGAGAAGATTGTTCCACCAACAAGGACCGCTGGCGGCATTCTTCTTCCGGAGACCACTGCTAAGGTTTCAATCTTTTCTCCATCCCTCATTCCCTAATATTTTCTTCGTTGCTCTCATTTTGAGGGAGTGAAATGGAGTCAGTTTTCTTGAACAGTATTCTGATACTCAATTGGAATGCTATGTCTTTGCGACAGTCCGCATGCGTTTACACGATGTGGGATTTTCGGTTATATGATAGGGGAAATAACCTGCAGCTCTATAGCTACCGTTACTTCAACTCAATCTGAGCCCTATTCCACTTATTATTTAAGTTTGTTTGTCTCGAAGTAAGATTTCAAGCGCTCGCTGTTAATTTAGGGTTTGGTAGCTGTCTAGTGTTCTCATATAAATCCTCGGTGAACCTTTGTCCATTGATCCTCATACACAGGCATCGATTGTTTCTCATCCTAAAATCAGCGATCTGGTATTAGACTTGGTGACTACGATTTCATTGACTGGAGATGCATAACTCTCCCGAAGAACTCTGCGGTAGATGTAGATGCCAATCAACGAAGTGGAGTATCACTATGCTCAAGGTCTATGATTATTGATGTGCAGCTGAATTCTGGGACAGTCATTGAAGTAGGAGCTGGATTGAAGAATAAGGAAGGAAAGTTGATCCCTCTTGACGTGAAGAAGGGTGATACTGTTCTTCTTCCGGATTATGGTGGTAGCCACATCAAGCTTGAAGGCAGAGAGTAAGACCGCGAGTCCTCTTCTCCAGCCCTGCTGTGTATCAGCCTTGATAAAGATGCAATTATTTTGGTGCTGTTTTTATTTCTATTTTCAAAATCATGGGAATACTCATTTGAGTGATTTAGTAGTTCCAGGTTAGGGTTAGGGTCGTAATTCGAGGTCATTTGGGTGTTAAATATTTTCTTGCTCTGCGAAGATCACCTGGCCAAGTGTTCATTGTGTGACGCTGTTTCTGTTTTTGGTTTTAGGTATGTCCTGTACCGCCATGATGACCTCTTGGGGATTTTGGAGGAGTAAAGGCTCTGCACAGGGCTTTAAACCTCGGCCTTTCAGGTGGTAGCAGTTACTTCCTACGCTAAGCATGTTTCTGAACGGTTGTGAAGAGGCTGTTGTAAAGCAGCGAATTGAGACGCATGTTTTCTTATTTAGCTTCACTGACTAGTTCTCTGGTGCAGATGCCACCTAATTACTTGTGTCGGTGAACTGTGATGGAATTTTTGGATTAGTGTAATGGAGTTACTTGGGGGTGATATCTGCTTAGAGCCACATGCCATTTGCACCCTCTGTACCAGCCTTTTCAAGTTCGTAATAGAACTGATTTTCCTCGGCATCAGTCAGATTTTCATTTTTGTGAACAAGCCTGTCAAAATACTGCCAATGATTTTGAAAGTTAAATGGTAGCTGTGGAAGGTTTAATGATTGAATGAATCAAAATTCAGTCATCTGCCAAGGTATTACGGGCATGACCAAAATCACTCTACCATCGCTCAGTAATACCTCGAGAGTCCCTTTCGATAGTTACAAAGAAAATTGAAAAACGCATCTAAAATAATAAGCTTTAGAACCTCTTTGGTGTAATACTCATTGTCCAAGTTTATCACCAAGGATGTGAAGCCTGCACAACATTGAAGTTTACCACCGCGATAAACTCACTTGCTCCGTCAACAATGGTGCACCTATTCACCCTCATGGTATTCATTCACCCTCATGGTATTCATTCATCCTCATGGTGCCTTGGTTTCTCTGTTTAGCTCATGACTTACCATACAGACTGATATAAAAGTCGATTTCCGAGGTCATAAAAATTCATGCTGTCACCATTATAGCTGCAAGAATCAAAGCAGATAACGGAGTGGGCTACTCTTCAACAACCTCTTACGGTTCCAAGCACCAACGAATTAATATCTCAGACCAGTAGAGAGAGAGCTGATGAGTCTAACAAGAGCAGGGACTGGATACAACATCAAGAACGATTCGGAGTTTAAAGCGAAAATCTTTTGGATTGCTCAACAAAATAGCCAACCTCAGATGCGACATGTGTAAAATGCACAGCGTTCATCTCAACGTCAACCATTCATTCTTTTGCACAGTTAAATAATTTTCGAGTTATGCATCTAGATTTCCTGAAGTTCGGAGTCGAATGAAACCAGGAACCCTCACTCCTGTAGCGTGCAAACTATTATAAAATTAGATTTTCACAAAAGCCTTACTCCGCCAATGCTCTCTCTCTCTCTCACAGAAGATTGCATATCCTGAGAGATCTAATACAAATCATTGCTTGAAGCATTCGGATGAACATATCCTAGCAGAATCACAAGAAACACCGAAATTAAAATAAAAAAATGACTTGTACTTATCTCCGCACGCAAGATTGTCCTTCGCGAAGCTCACCGACAACATCTGCTACGAGCGGCGTACGTGCGAAATAGAGACGAAGAAAAGCTGCATTGCAAGCACAAAACCCACCCACTAGCTCGTAGAAGTTTAGGAAACAAACTCAAACGTGGAAGTTAACAAATTGCGACATGCGAAAAGAACCCCATAGCCAGAATGCAATTGGAAACCTACGACATGCAAACGTGACACCCAAAAACAGTTGTTTCGCGTCATTATTCATTCCATTTGAAGGCACTGTTGGCAACTTCATCGATTTCACAGCAACGTAAGAGACCTCGAAGAACCCACAACCGCGAGCTGAAAAACGGATGACTCTAAAGGTGTAACTTTTTCATCCATATGGCTGGAGGAGGTTCCAGAAATCGGGGACTCGTTGGTTGCATTAAAACGTAGACTTCTGCATTCTGTTCCTCGAGACAAAGTTTCATGTGTCAGTACTACCCTTTGACGGATTTGTGGGTGTTGCTGCTTGTATCGAACTCTAGGAAACTAGCAAGTGTGAGATGTTTGGGGGTGAAGGGATAGGTTTTTGACCTGTGGAGTCGGAGTGCAGAGGTCTGGGTGAGCATCGTGCGGCGGAAGGAATTTGCTTTGTGGGGGTACTGGAACTTGCACTAGTCACACGGGGATTGGGAAGTAATCAAAGCAAGGGCTGAGAGCGTTGTGTGTTATCGGGCGTGATAGCATTAGTAGGTGGTGGAGAAGGAGGCGATCGATGGCGGAGGAGATAGAAAAGCATGATGGGTGGGGAATCTTCGACCGCCTCAAGAATTTGCCTCTTGTCACCAGCATTGGAGGTACTGTTAGGTTTCTCTGCTTTTTTTTTTTTTTTTTTTTTTTTTTTTTTGAAGTCTACAAATCTTAATTACTTCTTGAATCCTGTCATTCTAGCACTGTAAACCCTCGCTGGACAGATTTCTGACAATCTTACAGGATGTAAACTGGGGTCAATTGAAAATGTGCACTGGGAGAGTGATCCTTTAATGTGATTAGTGAAGGTTTTCTCCTCTTGTCCACCGTCTTATCACTCTTTGGGAGTTCACGCAGTCAGATACTGTAACCTCATCGCTGATTCCCAGCTAACTCCACCAACCCAGTTCATTCAACTGGGTTGGTGGAGTTCACGTCTTTGGCAGCTAATTGCTAAAACCATTATCAGCATTGACCCGAAGTCTAGAAGTAGGTAATCTGCATCCGAAAAATGTTGACACAGTGGTATTCTAGACTTGAAGTCTGCACTTGGTTTAGGGTTTACTGTGAGGCTCTTATGGTTTTAGAACCTCTTCGAATGAAACAATTGAGTGTGTACTTGAATTTTTTTCTTTCGCGAAATATGTCCGTATCTACGAGGCAAACTTTCAAGGTAAACCTCGTCGTATAATATTCTCTGTCCTCCACAACATGTCTGGCAGGGTTGGGGTTGCGTTTCACAAGAGTTTGAAAGATGCTGGATGGTTCCAATAAAACGAATCAGACAGCTTAATGTCTGTAACAGTCAAGGCCATGATGCGAGTATGAAACTTGTAGGCGGAGCTTTTGTTGTGTTATTTTTTTATTTACTGTCATATTCTGTATTTTACAGAGGATCTTGTAAGGACGCCTGTGAAGACTTCATTGCAGACCGAAGCCAACGAGGAAGGACCGGGTTTACAAGCGATACCTCAGCCACAAGTACCACCAGAACAGAAAGGGGACCCATTAATGAATAATATAATTTGTACCCTGAATGAATCTGGTAACGAAAGGTATGTTTGATCTTTCAGTTTCATAAAAGTGAGGGGTAGCATCTTGTAAGCGAATCTTAGTTTTTTATACACAAGAATGGTCTTTTTCGTTCCATCTGTTCTAATTCTTGATAGACAAGTTGTGTGAAGAATTTTCTAGTTCACTTAAACGCTAGAGTGCACTGGGTTAGCCAGAGTCTTGTGCGGGCTGTTTCAGAGAGTCATCGGACTCGTATATACGTCTTGTTACATATTTTAGAGCAACCCTTGACCAGCAATATATCTGTATCCGCAGATGATGACTGTCCTGAGGTATGATGATGTATTCCAGAGAGGAACCTGAAACTGCGAAAGGCGATAGGAGTTTGAGCAACCGTGAGCTTCTGAATCAGCTCCATGCTGTTGCTCTCGGCATACGGGACTTCGAAGTTCTCGGCGCACAACCGCCCAAGCTGACTCAGCTTGTTGGAGAAGTGATGGAGAAGCGAGTCCGTGCCAAGTCCAGCAATTCTGAAAATAGTACCAAATCCAAAGCGAAGGAATCATCTGAAACCAATCTTTTGTCACCAAAGAAAGCAACATCGAAAGTCACATCGAAGGCTACATCAAGGGCAATATTGAAAGCAACATCGAAGGTTAGAAAAGGAATTATAGTCAATGAATCAAAGGCCAGCGACAAACTGGCATTCTCAGACAGGTATCTTCAAAAGGCATTTGGATTGACGACTCCCAATGCTCAATTGTTAGAGAAGCTCAATGCTAATATTCCCGTCAAGAAGTTTACCAGTGACACCACTGCGAAGAAGCCTTTCAAAGCTAAAACCCTGACGACTAAACAACCTGCGCCACGCTCTATGGGCGATCTAATTAAACCTGTAAAGAAGGAAGCACCGAAGAGGGAGTTGGAAATGGATCCAACAGAAAGGCTGCCTACAAAGAAGAAAATTAAAATTGCAGCAAGGAGTGCTGCAAAGCAGAGAATACATGTATTGCCTCACGAGAAGCTAGTGCTTTCAGAGGCTGCTGTTGCTGAAGTAGTGGCTGCTAAGGTACCCTTTCCAATCCTTTCTCTTTGTCTACGCTTTTATTTCTACCTCAGGCATGTGACAGTAGGCTAGCATAGATTGTGCCATTTTAAACATGCCTTACAAATAAAAATTTGATACTGCTCTATGTCGCGTGTAGTGATGCAGCCTCTAGTGTTTTGAACTTTACTTTGTATTATGGTGGCTTGCCTGTTCTCTCAAATACAGTCTTCCGGGGTATCTTTTTATGATTTTATTGGTTCGTTCCTGAATGCTACTTACAGGTGCAAAGAGATGCAGCAGGGATCGAGGTGAAGAATCTCTTGGAGGAAATTCGTGGCATGACAAACTACAGTATCGATAACATTCCTTTAGATGTTACTGAGCGCTGGATTGGGGTTCATACGCAAAAGCTCAGCTCCTCATTCAACTTTTGTAGCACCATCATTAGGCACACATTTTCCTCCATATCTCCCAAAGTGGATCCTGAGTGAATATTTTTCGTTGTATATTAGTTGATAGTGTAGATTCTTACGGCTTTCACGATGCACTAACCGTTCAGATATTGCATCCTAAAATAGAAAACCTGAGACTTGCATTCACCTGATTATTGTTAAAAGTGATGTCCAGGTTTTAATATGTGGGTGTTGAAAAATGAATTTGATCTCATAGTGCTACTTTATTGTGGAAGCAATTATTCCGACTGTCATTGAAATGTGAAAAAACATTTCAAGGAAATTTTTGTTCTAAAAAGGCCCATTCCGTCGGATCTATAATTTAGAGTAGAAACTAGTCAAAACTCATCTACGAATACAACGCTAGCCTGAAACCAGCAGACTAAAAGACTGGTTTGTGTAGAAAGATTCGTGTTGTATGATCTTAAGCCCAAAGGATCTTCTTGATCATTAGAGCCTTCCTTCAAAAAGGTGTCACCTTTGATAAGAATTTACAGTAACTATTGCATTTCACATTTACATTCCTGACCACAGTTTCTCTTTCTTGTTAGGGCTTGTAGTAGACAAGTGGGCGTAATTAACTATGTGATCGGAATTATTTTTATTCTTATAAGATGTTTTTGTAGTTGAACCAAGTGGATTGTAATTTATTTATTTTTTGTTTTGTTCTAATTTTTTTGGTTGTTTTAAATAATTATTTAACCAAAATCATAAGTTATTTATAAGATTTTTATCAATAGAATATTGGTATATTATAAAATAAATAAATATTGCCATTTTTTAGTCATTGTAATTATAATGACTCAAAAAATTGTTTCAATGTTGACATATTTTGGAAAGATTGGTGTATTGTAGATGAATTATAGTGAATAATGACACACGGTTTGTATAGCAAATAAAGTACTCTTTTATAGCTATTAAATGAGCCCAAGTTGAAAAGAATCCATTAGGTAATTGTGGAGCTATGACCAATCCAATTTAGAACAATATTGAAACATTTTTTTGAGTGTGGTATCCAACTACATATTAGTACCTTGTAGGACCTCTTTTGGCCTTAATAACTACTTCCAATCTCCTAGGCATACTTTCTATTAACTTTCGACATAAAACTACTACAACATTATTCTATTCCACAACTATTTTTTTCCATGATTTCCAAACTCCTTTTGGTTTTATCTTCTAGGTATTGAATTGGCGTTTGAGGTGCTCCCAAAGATGTTTCATGGTATTAAGATCAAGAGACTAAGTAGGCCAATCCATTACTTTAATCCCGTAATGATCAATCCACTTCCATGTTAGTTTTGAGTTATGCTTGGGGTCGTTATCTTCCTGAAAAATCACTTCCTCTTAAGAAATGCCAAATTCTTTAATATCAGGGAGTAGGTTTTTTTCAAGAATTTCTATAAATTGCTTAATATCCATCCTCTCCTCAACCTCTGCTATCCTCCCAATCCCATTTCATCCCATATAACCTCATACCATTATATTTCCACCTTCATACTTAACTGTTTTTTGGATCTTCTTATCAAGCAAGGACTAATCCTTTTGTTTCTACATCCACTTTTTGCCATGTGATCCAAATCTGTTGATTTTTGTCTCATTTGACCAAATAACCTTCTTGTAATCTTCCATAGTCTATTCTTTGTACTTAAGAGTAAAATCCAAGCATTGTTATCAATAGCGAGTAGATAATAGTGGCTTTTTCTTTTTTATCATGGTTTTCATATTTCATTTTTTGAAAAAAAGTTAAAATGGTTTGAGTTGACACATGATTACTAATAATATTGTTAAGATTTTTAATAATCTCAACAATATTTTTGGCCGTTCCAATATTGATTTGGGAAATGATTGTCCTTTCATTTATTACAATGAGCTTTTTTGATCTGCCTAATTTAAGGTTCTCTCTATTAAAAGTAATTTTTTTTGTTAGCTTAAAGATAGTAGCTTTATTGTAGCCAAATTCAAAAGTAATTTGGCTATAAGATTTTTGAGAATGAAGAAGAGTAGAGGTGATGTTGTGTTGGAAAGAGTAGAGAATGGATCTAATAACTATTCAAGGAATTGTCAAGGACACAAGAATTCGACAAAGAAATATGTCAAGATTAAAGACAAAGAATGAGATTGATAGCAAAAGTGATTCCAAAGACTCCTATTTATACTATAATAAAGGTTATAGAAGTCTATAGTACTTTCTATGGAATTTTTTAGAAGTCTAAAGAAGCTTTTAAAAGCCTATAGAACTTCCTAAAAGATTGTAGAAGATTCCAAAATTATCTAGAAGATTTTAGAAATTTATAGCAGATTCTAGAAGGTCCTAGAATGTGAAAATTTGGAATATGTCTATGTTAAGAATTGTGATTAAGAATGGTGCTTTTATAGCTGCTAGTAAGCATTAATGATGTCATTAGATTAGTAATAATATTATCATAGTAAATTTGATGATGATAAAATGTTGTAATGTTGAGTAATTGATAGAATCCAAAAATTAGACACCACACTCAGAAAATTGTTTCAATACTACTCCAAGTTGGATTGATCATAGCTCTACAATTACTTAATGGATTCTTTTCAACCTAGGTTCATTTGGTAGCTATAAAAGAATACTTTATTTTCTATATGAATTATGTATTATTATTCATTACAATTCATCTATAATACACCATTCATTCTAAAATATGTCAATATTGAAATAGTTTTTTGAGTCACTACACATTCATTATTGATTAAAAGTCATCTTATTTTGCAAAGAGTATACTTATATCTATTTATTCATATTTTTTTGTCTTAGCATATAGAAGTTTTCTTTTTTATTAAATTTTATTTGGATGTTTGTTTAAAAATTTTGAAACTTCTTATAAACTTTTAGACAATTTGAAAAGATTCTAAAATCTTATGTAAGATTTGAGAAGTTTTTATTGATATGTTTAAAACAACAAAATTATTTTTAAAGTTTCTAAAATATTCTTGAATATGTTAAATTTAAAAATTATAAAATATCTATGAAAAATATTATCTTCTATAAAATATATATATATATATATATATATATATATATATAATATTTCAATGTTTTATATAATATTTTTTCTTATTTTTTGATATTATGGGATTTTTTGGAAATTGAGAAAAATTATCCTATAGAAAAAAAAAATTAAATTAAATTAAATTAAATACATAAAAATTATATTACAAGAAAATAAAACAATAAATGACATATTGACAAGATTTCAATCATACAAAGATTGCTAATAAATTTATATATTTGAAAAAGATATATACTATAAGAATTTAAACTTTTAATAAATTCATCATACACCATGCATAATAATTTGTTACAAAGCATAAGAAAGAAGTATGGTATTATTAAATTATTATCAAGTTAATGCAAGAGATGAAATTAATATCTAAATAATATAAATGAAGATATCAATACCATCTAAAGTAGAAGAGTCAAAAAACTAAACTATAAAGGATGTATTATATTATGATTTCTTAAATAATGTGGTGGTATAAAAAAAAATAAAAGATTATTTTTAAAAAGTCAAAAATAAGAAATACAATTTTTTTAAAAGATATACATAAGAAATCTAAAAGTAAAGAGATTCTTAAAAGAATTCATTTTAAAAGATACATATTTATTAAAGAGACTATTGTAGATAATTTACAAATAAAAATAATTTGAAGAAAGAACAATATATATAATATTTGATATAAGAAAAGTATATCTTTAATAATAATTTTTTATGCATAGTATGAAAGAGTATAGAAAAGATAATTATATAAATAGTTAGAACCATGGAAGTTTTTAGAATTGAGGTTAGGTTAGTGGACCAAGTACGATCCACCATGGAACATTCTAGAAGAATTTAGGGCAGTTATCTAGGTGTGATTCATGACCTAAGAATATTTTAGAAAGTCGAGGGTGATAGAATAAGATGTAAATAGGATTGGCTAGGGCCTATTGGAGCATCTAGTCAAGTATGGCTTCAGACCATTTTTCTTAGTAAAGTTTGGTTTTTCATCCTTTTATTTAGTTCTGTTATGTTTTGTTTCTGTTTGTTCAATTGTCTTTTATATCCTATTCTAAGTAGTTTCATTCAGTTTTGTTTTGGTTTATTTTGTCCTGTTTTATGATGAAATTTTATATTATTTTAGAATACAAGGAACTTGGATTTTTGAGATATTATGGTCCTATTTCATTAGTATTAGAGCGAGTATTACACTGTTTACTTTTGGTAGCGTATCAATAGTCATCATATAGCCCAAGGCCAGTTATTGTGGTCACATTGGATACTATATTGAGGCTACTACAAGCTACTCTTAAAAAATCAATCAAGAAGTAAAAAGATATTACAATAGTGGAGTCTAGCGGAGAAATTACAATATCGCAGATAAGGTAGAGCAATCCCAGATGGAGGCTCAAATACAACACTTCTTAGTTTAGATAGCTACTTTGCAAGAGTAAATAGAAGCCTCGAGGACAAGAGAGTCAACATTTGTTAGGTTGAAATTGAGTAAGCCTAGTATATACTTTGAAACTTTAAGACAAGAAGATGTATATCAATGGCTCTTTAATATGTGACAATACCTCCAACTATCCAAGGCAAATATCACTGAAGGAATTATGTATGCAACCGGCTATTTGAGAGATGTGATAGTTATTTGGTGGCGACATCAAGTTCAAAGCTATGAAACTCAAGGTGGATTTTATAACTAAGAGGAATTTAAGACCAAGTTTAGGAATCAATTTTGGCCTATCAATGTAGAAAAGATAGCATGCAATCAATTGGCAAATCTTATACATTCTAGGATGATGTAAGGTTATGTCTTTCAATTCAAGTTCCTATGTCTCCAAATTGGCAATATTTTGGAGGCAAAAATTATGGATTGATTTCTATAAGGTTTGAAACTTGGAATCCACCAAGAGATCAAGCTAAGGGATCTACAAATATTCGAAGAGGTGATTCAGATTGTAGAGAGGATTAATACTATAGATTTCAAAAATTATGGAGTATAACCTATAGTACAAAGTTTTATGCCGCTATGTAATATTATAATACAACAACCAACGCCAATGGAGATTGATGCCTTACAAGGATCATTGATAATACAAAGATGACAAATATTAGTACATAAAGGAATGTATTTCTATTGTTGAAAGTCAGGCCATCAGATTAAAATTTGTCCTAAATATCAAAGTGCAAGTACCACAAAGACAAGGTGGATTCACAGTCTCAAAATTCACTAAGCCAATAATGAGTCAGAATAGAAAAACGAAGCTCCCTAGTAAAGATGTTGGGAGCCAATAATAGATGTAGCTACTATTTCTCAGAGATATATGACATAGCGTCAGACATCTATAAAAAGAGTCAATTGTTGTATCTAACTAGACTACTGAGAAGACAACCATGTCGAGTGCTTATAGATTGTAGTTCTACAAAAAATTATATCTCAACTGAAATGACCGATTGACTTGAAAGTAAAACCAAGAAAATCAAAGGAGGAAGTATATACC